CATTCTACCCAGACCCATCCCCCTAATCTACACATCCCTGGACACTACAGGCAATTTAGCATGGCCAACCCACCTAGCCTGCACATCTTTGGACTGTGGGAGGAAACCGGAGCACCCGGAGGAAACCCACGCAGACACAGGGAGAATGTGCAAACTCCACACAGACAGTCGCCCGAGGCTGGGATCAAACCCAGGTCCCTGGTTCTGTGATGCAGCAGTGCTAACCACTGAGCCACTGTGCCGCCTGTTTTTTTTTTCTGAGAATTGAAACATAGTGCCAATTTTGGTTGGAAATGCTTGGAAAATATGCTGAAGGACAGGATTAATCAATACTTGGAAACCATGACGTGGAGGTGCCAGTCTTGGACTGGGGTGGACGAAGTCAGAAGTCACACAACATCAGGTTATAGTCCAACAGATTCATTTGAAATCACAAGCTTTCGGAGCGCTGCTCCTTCATGAGGTGAATGTGCAACGCTCTGAAAACTTGTGATTTCAAATAAACCTGTTGGACTATAGCCTGGTGTTGTGTGACTCAGTACTTGGAAAGGCAGGGATTGATCAGAGATGGTCAACACTGATTTGTCAGAGGGAGATCCTATCTGACTTGTTTAATTGAATTTTATTTTAAAAAATGACTGTGTATATTGATGAGAATAGTGGAGTTGATGTGGTTTACGTGGAATTTGGGTAAGGCCTTTGAGAAGGTCCCACATGGAAGGCTGGTCCAAAGGGTAAGATCCCATGGGATCCAAGGCAAGTTGGCAAATTGGATCCAAAAGTGGCTTTCAAATAGGAGGCAAAGAGTGATGGTGGGGGAATGTTTTTGTGATTGGAAGCCTGTGATCAGCGGTGTACCACAGGGATCGGTGCTGGGACCCTTGCTGTTATGTACAGTGACAACTTGTGTGTGAATGTAGAAGATTTAATTAGTAAGTTTGCAGATGACATAAGAATTGGTAGGTTTTGTTGATAGTGAGGCAGATAGTCTGAGGCTACAGCCTGGTATTGATCAGCTGGTAAATTGGGCAGAACAACGGCAGGTGGATTTTAATCCTGATGACTGTGAGGTGATGCATTTTGGGAGGTTTAATAAGGGAAGGTTATAGACAATGAATGGAAGGTCCCTAGGGAATACTGAGGAACAAAGAGTCCTTTGTGTACAAGTCCATGGATCCCTGAAGGTGTCAGCACAGGGAGACAGGTTGGGGAAGAAAGCATACAGGATGCTTGCCTTCGTTACCCGTGGCATAGAAAATAGGAGCAAGAAAGTCTTGTTGCAACTTTATAAAATATTGGTTAGGCCACAGATGGAATACTGTGTGCAGTGGAGTCACCATGCTATTGGAAGAACGTGATTACATTGGAGAGGGTGCATGGGAGATTCACCAGGATGTTGCCTGGGATGAAAAGTCTCAGTTATAAGGCAAGACTGGATAGGCTGGGTTTCTTTTTCTTGGACATGAGGAGGCTGAGATGGGGGATGGGGAAGGGGGTGGATCTGATTGAGGGATACAAAATTATGGGAGTAGATCTGTGAGAGTCTTTTCCCAATGGCAGATGTGCCTAATACCAGTGGGTATAAGTTTAAGGTGAGGAGTAAGTGGTTTAGAGGGTTCTGAGGAAAGCTTTTTCACCCAGAGGGTGGTAGAAGTATGGAACATGCTGCCTGACATTGTGGTGCAGGAAGGACTCTCGCAACATTTAAGAAGCTTCTGGACGAGAACTTAAAATGCCAGGGCACAGTAGGCTATGGACAAAGTGCAGGTAAATGAGATCAGTGTCATCTGGTGTTTGTTGGTCAGCATAGACACCCTGGGCTGTTTCCATGCTGCATGACTTTGTGTCTCTATTTAAAACAGAGATGAGGAGAAATGCTTTTCCTGAGAGGGTTTTGAGACCTTAGGATTCTGTTCCTGAAAAGGTGGTGGAAGCAAAGTTCTCAAATATTGTTAAGGCAGAGGTAGATAGATTCTTGTTAAACAAGAGGGTGAGATGTTAACAGGTACAGGCTGGTAAATGGCTCTGAGGTCACAATCAGATCAGCCATGATCTTATTAAAAGACGGAACTGATTCAAGTGTCAAATGGCCTTCTTGTTCACATGTCTGTGTGTTCAGTTTACTTCCTCTGTTGCTTCTTCGGTACCTTATTAACTGTGTTTTATATTTCTAACTTGCAGATCCCACTACCGTCTCTATCGGAAAAATGTTGGAATTAATTATTAAGGAAGTAATAGCAGAACTTGTGCAAAAAAACCATAATCTAATCAAACAGTCAGCATGGCCTCATGAAAGGGAGGTCGTGTCTGACTAATATATCGGAGTTATTTGAGAAGTTTCAACCAGATCGGACAGAGTTGTAGAAGACATTGGACAAGATTCCTCACAGAATGTTAAATCATGAGATAACACCACGTGCTGTTGGAGGTAGTATATTAGTTTTGATAGAGAATTGTCTTATGGGCAGGCAAGTGAGTGGGGATAAGGAGTTCATTTGTAGGTTGGCTACTGGTGACCAGTGGGGTTCCACAGAGATCAGTGCTGGGACTACAACTACAACATATATTGATGACTTGCATATATTGTAACCATATTTGAAGACTACACAAAAGCAGGTGGAAAGGCAGGTTGTGAGAGGGATATAAGTAGTTTGCAGAGAGGTGTTGTTATTAAGTGAGTGCATGAATTGGCAAATGGAGTATAATGTGGGAAAATGAGAAGTTGTTCATTTTAGAAGGAAGAACAAAAGAACAGAATATTATTTAAATGAGGAAAGAAACTGCAAGAAGCTCCAACACAAAGGAGCTTGGGGGTTGCTTCTGCACTGAACACAGAAAGCTGCACACAAGTGCAGCAGGTAATCAGGAAGGCTAATGGAATATTCACCCTTATTTCAAGGGGGTTGGAGTATAAAAGTAGTGCAATTGTACAAGGTACTGGTGAGACCACCTGGTCAGTATTTGGAAATATCCCCTTAAATTGCTGCCACTGCTCCTCTCCTGATATTTCCCCATTCAGGCCCATTTGGTTGCCTTAAGTTAAAAATACTAGTCTTAGGCCCACTTTTTTCCTTTCCAAATTGAATGTAAAAGTAAATAACTTGTGATGGCTGCTACCTAGCAATGCCTTTACTCTGACGTCATTAAGTTATCCTGTCGCATTACACAGTACCATTGCACTAATATGGCCTCCTTCCTAGTTCGTTCCAGAAAGTGCTGCTCCAAGTACTAGAGGACATAGGTTGAAGGTGAGATGGGGAGGATTTAAGAAAGACCTAGGGGGCATCTTTTTCATGCAGATGATAGTGTGTGTATGGAGTGAGCTGCCAAAGGAAGTGGTAGAGGCTGATACAAGTATAACATTTAAAAGGCATCTGGATGGGTATATGAATAGGAAGTGTTTAGAGGGATATGGGCCAAATGATGGCAAATGGGACTAGATTAATTTAGGATATCAGGTTGGCATGGATGAATTAGACCAAAGGGTGTGTTTCTGTGCTGTACATCTCTATGACTCTATGACTTCAATGAGTGTTATCATTTTGTTACAAAACAGAGAGACATACTGAAGTGAAACAGAACCTGAAAAATTAAAAGCAGTACATAACATGACATGGATAGTAGGAACTGCAGAAGCTGGAGAATCTGAGATAACAAGGTGTAGAGCTGGATGAACACAGCAGGCCAAGCAGCATCAGAGGAGCAGAAAAACTGAAGAAGGGTCTAGGCCCGAAACGTCAGTTTTCCTGCTCCTCTGA